GTTGTTAATAATACCCCTTCTTTTTATATTTTCGAAAATAGTAATCTCTATTACCTGTCATTTTCTTATCAAAAAAATATAATGGTTTTGAATAGGGTAGTTTTCACCAAAATAGGTCCGCAAATAATGGGAAGCAATCTTAACGAAAGTTATCAAGAGCATGTAGAATATTTGGAAATCTTTTAAGAAAAGATTGTTTAAAAAAAGACAATAAAATTGATCAAATATATAAATACATGGAATAAATATATCAAAGATTCTCAGTGTATTTATCTAGAGAAAATGCATATGAAGTGTTATAATACTCTTAGAAACATCAAATATAGAGGTAACAACGTTTTCCAAGCTCCAATTAATTCGGTAAAATATCTATCAATCGAATGCAAATCTACTTGAAATGTTTTATTATGTTAGATGAAAAATGTCATTTAATTGATATAAAACTTACTCGAGAATTTCCATTAAAAAGTAAAGTAGAATTTGACAAATGCTTTTTCAAGCATGTCCAATCATGTTTTTGAATAGCATTATCATAGATTATCTTGTTAAATTGCTCTCCTGCAAGATACAGTTGGAATACAAGTTTTGCGTGAGGCAGAAAGTGCAGAAAATGTTTTGAAAGTAAAACCAAGAGTACTTTATTATGTATCGAGAAAAAAAGAAAAGAAGGTATTGTATTGAATTAAAATATTATTAAAATTTACTTGTAGTTTACATTAAATTCATAAAATTTTTAAATTTTGTACAAAATATTATAATAAAGTTTAATAAAGAGGCTGAAGTTTAATATTATATACATGTGTGTGTATATATACAACAAAGTGTTTAATCAAATATCAGAAAAAAATTTTATTGTATATAATATTATATTTTAAACCCAATTTTTATAATGAATGGATTTATGAATTGATTTGACTTATTTTGACATGTTTTAATTTATTTATAGCATCAATCATTGTTTGAATTATGCAATTGGATTCTTAAGCTAGTTATAGACTGGTGTTTACTTACTATTGGCGTGAGCCAGAAATTTAAAAAGTTTTTTTCCTATCATTGTGTCATAATATTATAAATAGTTCATACTATTTCTAAGATGATCTTCACGAACTTGTTAAATATTTAACTAACTTTTTTGATTTTACTCTTGTAGTGCTCTGTGCTGATGCTCTGTGCTGATGCTCTGTGCTGATGGTCTGTGCTGATGCTCTGTGCATCAGTAAACTACTTATTTTTATAATTTAATTCAGTATTATGAATTGTCATCATGTATTGTATAATGGAATTTCTTGTCCATTTTTAGATTTAGCAATCAAACAAATTATCAAATTTTATAGATTCACTTGGCCAGATGATTCTGAAACATCAAAAATGCATTTACTTGAAAATCATGTATATCAGTTTAGTGAATAATGGAGATTATATAGGTGCTTATTGTGAAAAATGGAAATAAGGAATAGATGTTTATGTTGAAAGTTTATGCACTGAATTTACCAATCTTAATAGATTATTCTGGCATTTGGGCTGTAGTCAGCATTTTATAAAAAATTGCCCTAAAGCAAAAGATATAAAGTCTAATATAAAAAAAATAATAATAATAAATTAATAGAAATTTTTTACGAAATATTTTTTGTAAAAGAATTTTGAAATCAGATTTACTATAAATTTTTAAAAATATGAATGATAAACAAAATCTTAGTGTTTTTTTTTTTTTTACTTTCACTTTAAGCAAATAAATTTTAAGGCAATTAACCCTTAAGCAATTTAATTGTTAATATGAGGGAACTTTTTAATATTGAATTAAAATGTCTTTATAACTTAAAAGCTAAATATATATTTTAATGACTTATTAGGAGTATGGCCTTTTAATTCAAAATCAAAATTTAATATGATACAGATGATCATTGCTAGAACTTAGATTGCTATTTTTTGTTTGGTTTTAACAGTTTCATTTTTTGGTTTTAACAGTTTAAATTTTATACTGTTACAAACTAAGCTTAAAATGTTGCTAAATCCTAAATAAATAAAAAAATTTATTAGCGTTATGATAATTAGGGTAGAGCGGGACATATAGGGACACTTAAGAAACAAATGCTAGTATATACAGATAAACTAATCATAGTTAACACTGCTTTTTTACAAATTTTCTAAAATTCATTGATATAAGAAAATGAAAAAACAAAAAAAAACTCTAAAAATAAGCTACATTAACCAAAGTAACGAAACTCTAGACTAGCAAAATTTTTACATTTTGCAAGTGGGTGAGGCAAAACGGGACAGTTAAAAAGCAGCAGATATTCGTTAGTTGTAAAGCTTTAAAAATGATAGAAAATTAAGGCTATCTATCGTTTAAACATGTTCAGACATTAAACTCTCAAAAAAAGTAACATACCTATAAATGCGATACGCCCATACACCCATAAACCACAAAATGAAAACAAAAATAACAACTAAAATAAAATAAAAAATTTGTGTTTTATTATAAAATACCACCACTCTGCTCTAACCTATAAATAATTAAATTGGTAACTACTACTATATTCAAAGTTAAACAAAAAATATTATGAGTCACACAAAAAATAACCTAAAACTATTTGTCAACATTTTTGTTGAGCTGGCTTATTTATTAGCAATATGACAATGTAAAGCAAACTTAAATATGCCATATTTATCAGCAGCTTTTCTATTTTTCTATATCATCAGTCGAGATACAAAAGCAATTAGAGCTGCCTGTATCGGACCGAACAATCAGACGACGTGCTGTTGAAGCCGGATTGTTTTCTCGACGCCCTGCTAAGAAACCGCTAATTTCACTAAAGAACCAGAAGAAAAGACTCCTGTATGCTACATCTCATATTGACTGGAATGTGCAGAAATGGCGAAACGTCCTGTTCAGTAATGAATTGAAGTTCAACATCGTTGGGAGCGATGGCATTTGCCGTGTATGTCAACCGGCCGGAAAACGCCTTAATTTACGCTACTGCCATAAGACCATGAAGCATGGTGGTGGTAATGTAATGGTCTGAGGGTGTTTTTCTGCTAACGGTCTAGGTCCAATACATCGAATTGATGGAATAATGGACCGTTTCACGTATAAAAATATCCTAAAAGATGTTATATTACCTCATGCTGAATGGAATATGCCAATAAAATGGGTTTTTCAGCAAGACAACGATCCGAAACACACTACAAAAGTAGTCAAGCAGTGGTTTCAAGACAACCACCTATCAGAAATTGATTAGCCACCTCAGTCTCCGGATCTCAACCCTATCGAGAACCTGTTGGAGATCGTCAACCGCAGAATTAATCGTGAAGGTGTTCGTAATAAGAATCAACTGTTTGAACAAATCCAAGAAGCCTGGGCAGCGATTCCACAAAGTTTCATTGATTACCTGATCAAATCTATGCTTCGAAGATGCAAGACTGTGATCGACAACAAAGGATTCGCCACGAAATATTGATTGCGAAATACAGCTTGGTCAACATTTTGTGGAGTTGCACTTGTTTTGTCCAGAAGGAAATCAACTTTTTTTTAATACTTTTGATTAATTTATTAATTTTTGTGTACAAATAATGAACTTTGTGATGATTAAAACTTGAAGAGTTATTATTACATAGTTATTTCTAAATTGAAAAAATGCAGCACTTTTGTATAAAGAAACTAAATTAGCATTTTTTGGTTGCACTTGTTTTGTCCGATACTGTATATATATATATATATACAAGGCCGTCGCGATAGAGGGGTGTGGGGGTGTGACATCCCCATATCAATGATTTTTAGTCGGCAAATCGGACCCTTAGTCGGCAAATTGGACCCTTTTAGACTAGTTAGTCAAATGTCGACCCTTTCGATATAGGTTAGTCGGTTATCTACCCCCACACGTGACACCTACTCGCGCCGGCCCTTTATATATATATATATATATATATATATATATATATATATATATATATATATATATATATATATATATATATATATATATATATATATATATATATATATATATATATATATATATATATATACATATATATATATATATATATATACATATATATATATATATATATATATATATATATATATATATATATATATATATATATATATATATATATATATATAAATTCATAAGCAAAAAGTCTATACTAATTATGTATCCATGAAATAAAAGTATAGAAGTCCGAGGTATGTTTAAAAAATAATAATAAGATGATATACGACGATAGAATAAAATAAACATATAAATATTCCGTTACATATATCTACGTGTAAGGATGCTTTAAACATATAAATACTCCGTTAATAAATAAGATAAGCATATAAATACTCCGTTACATATATCTCTACAAATAAGGATCCTTATTTTGATCCTTATTTTAAGCATCGATGCTTTGTAAAAAATTTAAAATTTTTGGCTAAACATCCTTATTTGAAATAAGTATGAAAATATAAATGTTTGGAGTTTGTTTCATGTTTGGAAGTTAGATATCTCGAAGACAAAAAAAAAACTCGCGCCACCCCTGGTCAATTATTTAAAAAAATCTATGTATTTAATAATATTAATGATTTGAATATAATAGTATTAATAATATTAATACAATATAAATATAATATGAATATAATAATATTAATGATTTGATAATGAAACTGATTATATTAATAATATAATCAGTACCGTAGCTAGTGGGTTGGAGTTGTCCCTTCCCTCCCCCCCCCCCCAAAAAAAAAAAAAAATATATATATATATATATATATATATATATATATATATAAAATAAATAAAATAGAATAAAATAAACAAAATAAAACAAATGAACAAATAAACAACAATCTTTAACTAAGGTTCCAAAATCTTAAAAAAACTTTCCATTGTTAGGTATTGCATAAAAAAAGATCGGTTTTCTAAATAAATACTTTTCCGTAGTGTTCTGTGATCGCCTTAACTAAGAAAAATAACAAATAATAATAATAATAATATCGTTAAAATAACATCAAGCGACGCTTTTTTTATGTTTAGTCTCCGACTAATTTTTTTCTTAATTCGGGACAAAATAAATATTTGACGGTGTATACTAAATAATAATAATAATTCTTAAAAGTATTGATGTGCTTGTGCTTTTATTGAAAATGACTAGTAAGCTAGGTATGCGAAAATATTTTTAATGGCGATGAATGGGAACTATACAATTTTATTTTCTTAATTACAATTTTTGATGCATAAAGTGTTTTAATTAATTCAAATAATTTATATAATTAATATTTGTATAATTAATTACCATTCATTCATTTTTATGAAATCAAAGAAAGTGTCTAATTATTAAACCTAAGTTTTTTGAATTTATTTAATAAAAAACAATAGCTTTGTCGTTAATGTTACGGTAATATATACATTTATGTATAAATAATGTGACATTTTTTATCTTGCTTTATTTTTTTGTGCATGTCCCTTACTTCTTTCCTATAGGTTTATTGTCTCAAAAGTCACTCTCCTCTTTCAACCAGGTTATAACTTATATCCATATAGCCACTCTCTTATAGTATAAGAGAGTGAACCTTTCAGTTAATATTATTCAATGAACTCATGTATGATATTTACTAGTAAATATATTGTTAATGCTATTAAATCATACAAAGAAATATAGTCATAATACACCTTTTCTGAGAAAAAATGCTGATAATTTTCTGTATGATTTTTTCAGAAAAAGAAAAAATAAACAAAAAATAACGATAAAAATTTTTTATTGCCCTAACCCAAACTCTTAATCAATTTAGCAGCAACTCTTTTGCGTGTTCTTCCAAAATCAAATACTGAGATCCAAGTATCACCAGCATTTACTATGCCAAGTATGCAGTGATAAATTCTAGTGACTTTAATTAAACAAAGCTCATTTTTTATAGTATTACTGATTATTACTATAAATATATTACTATATATAATCATTTATTACCATAAAAACTCTTTAATTGAAAGAATTACTACTAGAATATTACTACAGCAACACCAAAATCAACATGCTTTGCTGTTTTTTTTTTCAAAATTTGTATCTTCATAGATTTTTTTTGAGTACTAAAATAGTTTAACTTTAATTCTGGTTGTAATTCTTTTTTATAAAATTTGTTTAGAATATATTTGTTTAAAATTTCTTTGTTGTTTGTGCATATACTGGGAGTTGATATTTTTTCTAATATATTCTTACAACTGCAAAGTCTTTTTACTTGCTGCCTGCCAAATTTCATTAAAAAAAAAACGGTTGCCCAGACACCTTACTAACTTACCCTAACTAGGTACCTACTTTTGAATTGAATATAGCATTATGCATAGGTAGTTTGGGAGGGGGTATCATAATACAAATTTGAATATTATGATGTTTAGAGTTTCTCAAAAAAGGTAGTTTCAGAAAACAGGTATTTTCTGTTTTACATTTTAAAAAACAGCTGTTTTCTGTTTCTCATGGAACTTACAACAAAGTAGTCCAATATCTAGCATTATTTTTTAATATAGTAAAATTTAAGAAACACGAATGAATTCAGAGATTCATCCAAAAGGCATGATCAAATCTTTTTGCAAAAGTTTGTTGAAATTGAAAAAACTTGTTCAACGTCTGTGGACGTTGGTTTAATTGTAAGGAGAGCCTCATATTTTTTGCAAATTTTCTCTTCTTTTCGATGTGTTCCGAAATTTCAAAAATTCCTGTTTTACCCATGTGAACTCATCATAGGCTGTTGAAATGGGAGTAACTTTTTCCATTTTCAGCAATAAAACTAACTCTTCTTAAAGAGATAGATTCACTATAATCAGAAGTTTTCTCATCTTCTCGAAAACTGAAAATTCTTTTTGCCAATTTTCCAGCAAAGAGCAAAGTGTCTCATGATGGAATATTTGTAGGATCTCTCAGTGATCTTAATAAGTTCATCACATTATTATTCTATTTTTCACTTGTTCTCTTCCTGAGATTTTCATATAACTCCTTCCCAAAGTTATTATTTAAATTCAAAAGTTTTTCCATCATAAAGCCAATAACAGTATCAGATGTCAAAATCTTTGAACTCTTACAACTCAGTGTCTCAACAGTTATTTTGATTATCTCCGTGGCATTTTGCAACATCGACAAAGTAATAAAATCTACCTTATTGATCAGATCAAGCAAATTTAAATCAGTTAATGTATTGAAAAGCCAAATTTTGTTTTAATCAGTGGATCAATCATTGTGGGGATAGAATTCCAATGTTGAATGTCAAGGTGCAATTCAATTTTAGCTCCAAATGCTTAAGTTACTTTTGACTGAATAATTTGGTTTCCAACGGTCGAATTTTAGATATAGTTGACAACATCTCATGCATTTTTCAAAACAGAATGGAAATCAACTTCTCAATAATCTACTTGCACAGCCTCCATGTCATTATTTTCAAAATTGTCCACATTATCCTCATCATCAGAGTCTGAGTTCAACTCACTTGAACTAATTGGGTTGTTTTTCTTATACATAAAATATTTTTTTGATTTTATATTTGATTTGATATCAACCACAGGGTTTTTTCGTTTTGTTGCTAACTCCTAAACAGATGACATCTCTATTCGATTAAGGTGTACATTATATATACATATACAATAAATATTCTTCATATTAAGAATAATATCTACTTTCTAGCAAAATATTCAAATAATTAATCACAAATTTAATTAGTTAAGCCAATAATATCAACAACTCAACCACAATGTTATGTTTTGCATTCTTATTTATAGGAAAGAGAATCAATATTATGTTTTGTTTAACATTTATTTCTATATTATAGTGAACTATTACAAGTAATTATATTATGTTAAAACTATATGTAGTTTTTTGTATCATTATTCCAACTCTGTTGAATTTAACGCTATGGCTTTTATTCCATTCGTGCGAGAATTTCTTGTGCGGAATGAATCTCTTAAGGAAATAGTTTGGCAATGATTATAGAGTTGTGTTGCAATCTTTAATGGTTATTCTAAATGAGTATTAGAAATGATTGTCTATAGGGAGTTGGTTTTGTAACAATTATTGCACTTGCTTCACAAAACAAATATTTTTAAGTTTAAATCATACTTGGTTCCATATAATAAAAATTTTTGTTATATGGAGCCAAGTATGATTTAAACTTAAAAATATTTGTTTTGTGAAGCAAGTGCAATGGTTGTTACAAAACCAACTCCTTAGAGACAATCATTTCTAATACTTGTTCAAAAATCAAACTGTTCTTTTAATTTTTTTTTTTCATTTTCTGTTAGGAAAAAATATTAAGATAAAAATCAAAAACAGGAAAACAGGTAGCAAAAAAATAGCTGTTTCCTGTTTTCCAATTTTAGCTAAAAAACAGCTGTTTTACTGTTTCTGTTAACAGCTGTTAGAAACCCTAATGATGTTGATATCATCAATGTCTCAACATTAGTTCTCAAATAAGTTTTGACTATTGCAGAGTGCAGTGCAGCTTGTAAAATTGGGCATGTATTTTTTAGTATTCATAATAAATGTTTAGTCATTTCCGAAACAGTTGTACATATTACTAAAGTTTTCAAGATCAAAACTTGTATACTTCAGGTTAGGAGTCTAACAAATAGATCAGTAAATTAGATACAAAATTTTTGCAGAGTTTACAATGAGACTTTTGTAGGCTATATATCAAATATACATATTAATGTGTTGTCCTCAGCTTCATGAACTTCTTCAGTTGTTCCATTAAACCATGTGAAAGTTCTATTTTGATTTACCAGTGAAAACTGTCAATATTTTCTGGTTACACAGACAGGATCAAAATAAGCATATTTCATGAAAAAAGTTAACTCTTACGAAATAAAAACTAAAAGGTAGGTTATCTTATTTGTTTTCTTACATAGCTAGTGCCTACAGAGAACATTGGGGCAAGATAGCATTAGTGAAAGCTAAGTTAAACAGCATGCCCTATAAATCACAGGTTTAAAGAAAAAGGCATTAAAAGTAAAGGTAAAGCAAATAAAGCTCAAATATAATGTTGATGTTAAGGCAAGAAACCAATTAATTTCTGTTTTGGAAAATGATATGTTTCTGACTAAGGTAAGAAAAATTAATATATGCAAGAAGATAAACATGTATATCTATTACAAATGAGAATGATAATTTATAACGTATTGTTACATATTGTCTTAACAGGTAGTATTCCATTGTTGATAAGGAAAATAAGAAAGTATATTGGTGCTGTTTTTGCTGATGTTTCCCATTGGAGTACTGTGAACTAGACATTATATATAATTATATATAGCTACAATCAGGTGAGTAGGCTGTTAAAAGCAATCATCTTCTCTAGTGTTCTAATTAATTCATTTAGCTAATAATAAATGTCAGATTATTGCCCTGGAATAATTGCCTGGAACAGTTGCCTGGAGGAGATGGCTGATGATTGTGAAAACCATTTATGATATACAATTGATTATATGGCATTGATTTATTTATATGCGTAGATTTGATTGTTTGTAGATTATTTTAAATGTTTAGACTCAATGAGCATTGTAGCTCAATCATTTCAAATATATCTAACACAATGTCAGATAGAGCTGCAGTTGACCATCTTACCAGAAGCAAAGTTTATGCAACCTTGAGAAAGAATCTGAATGAGCTGAACTGCCATTAAAGGAAGGGATTCAAATTATTTCCTCTTTGTTATCCCTAAAACATTTTTCTTTTACAAGACTAAATGGTATGCATTTAAATAAGAAAATTTAAAAAATTGGCAATGATATTAGGAGAGAGGGTGCAACTAATAACACCCATAGTTTAAAAGACTACTATCCACCCAACCTAAGTTATCCCAATAATATTTAATGGTGGACTGGTAAAATAAATTTAAAAAATCCAAATATTCAAAATTTCAATAAAAATTTAAGATTATATATATATATATATATATATATATATATATAATCTTAAATTTTTATTGAAATTTTGAATGATATTTGGATTTTTTTTATATATTTTACCAGTATATATATATATATATATATATATATATATATATATATATATATATATATATATATATATATATATATATATATATATATATATATATATATATATATATATATATATATATATATATCCAACACTAAGATGCTATCCAAATGTTTTTATTTATCTCAACCAGAGTAAAGTAATGGTAATTCTGCTACCAAACAATCGCTGAAAAATTAATCCAGGGAAAAAAGATTTTTTTAAGTTGAGTTTTTTTTTTGTGGAAAAAAGATGCTTAAATTTGGATTTCCTCATACTGCTGATTGGATTCGTGATTCAATTCGATTTGCAAATCAAGACCCACTTCAATTCAAATCTACAAATAATTTTAAACTTGTTCTACAAAATAGAGTGACTGATGTTCTTAAAAGAACAGGCCAATACAAAATTGGTCAAAAATCAATTATCAAAATATTTTTTATTTTACAATGTATTTCAACAATAAAGACTCATCAGTAATGAATGATCAAATTAATTAAACTTCAATTTATGCCTAAAGTTAAATTACAGAGAGTTGTAAATGTCTAAACTACTGTAAATTTTTAACACAGGAAATATTATATGCAAGTGCTGTTTTAAGGATGGATCAGTTCAGTATAAAATCATCAATATTTTTATCTTTTAATTCCCATATATATTTTGACACCATGTTGTCTTTTGAATACTTTTTATTTTCAAAGAATTGCTTATGATTAACAAAACCTTATTGTTTTGATAAACAACTTCCACTCATTGGACAATTGTTTTTTTTTATTGTTTTTTCATTTAAAATTTCTTTTTTGTTTAACAAAGCATTATTGTAACCTTTTATAATTATTTCCATTTTTTTTGTGCAACTCTATTTATTTATTTATTAGAGGGCAGGAAATATTTGTTAACCAATTTTGAAAAACACTTTTCCTATGTTAGTGGAAACATTTTTCTATATAAAGGGGTGGGGGTGGGGGTGTTGGGATTGAATCAAATTACATTTCTAGTTCAATTTTGCATTTTTGTTTTCTTTTTTTCAAGGTCAAATTTTAGTTTAAAATTTTAAAAACCATTTTTTTAAGGGCATCTTCGAAAATTCGTTTAATTGAATACATTTTTATTAGAGGTTTGGTTTAGCTTGTTAATAAATTGAAGAGGGAATTTGTTTTAGAATTTGGGGTGAATAATTTGAACTAATATTAACATAAAATAGTTCATCACATAATTTTTGTGACATGTTGTAAAAGGGGTCTTTAAGGCGTAATGACAAGAATTCAGATAATTTTTCAGAAAAAATTGTTAAATTACTTAGATCTTCTTGGTTAAATAAGACTTTTTAATAAGAAGCTTCATCGCCATCTTCATTACCCTTCTTGTCTGAAACTCCATTGCTGCAAAATGTCTATTAGCTGTTGATTTAACAAGGATATCTTATTTTTTCAACACAGATAATAGATGTCATGATGACGATTATGGTTGTGTTTTTTTTTTTTTTTTTTTCGCAGTTTACATTACACTCATCAAACATAAGTAAAGCCACATAGTTTCTGGTTTCCCCATACATAAAAGTATAGGTGTATATTTTTGTAATATATTTGTTTTTTATGCATTTTTACTCATCACTCATACAAAAATTATAAAAAGTTTAAAAAAAAATTTGAAACAACTCAGCTAAAAGCAAAATTAAGGGAAAAATATATTCCAGATTTTTTCTGGATACTTTACCCAAACAATTTTCCGAATTTTAAAAATAAGACCTGGATGATCTATGATGTCTGTTTTATGCCCATGAAGTATTTATCTAGTTAAGAATCACATAGTTTGTAAACAAGCTCATATGTATATAAGTCACTATATATATATATATATATATATATATATATATATATATATATATATATATATATATATATATATATATATATATATATATATATATATATATATATATATATATATATATATATATGTATATATATATATATATATATATATATATATATATATATATATATATATATATATATATATATATATATATATATATATATATATATATATATATATATATATATATATATATATATATATATATATATATATATATATGTATATAAGTCACTAAAGTGCTTGAACAATAGAGAAAAAAAGGCATTTTACATAATTGTATTAGATAGAAAAAAAAATTAGAGCTAGGAAAATGAATATGAATTTTGAATCAAGCATCTTGAAACTATCAAGAAACAGTTCTTACATTTTTAGCATCAATTTATATTTTAGTATATATATTTTTTAGTATTTTTATTTTTAGCAAATTATATGTTGGCTATTTCAATTTTTTATTGATTACTTGTTATTATTAATAGTTATATTAATCTTTTAGCTCTTACTGAAGAAAATGTTAAACGAATTAAAAACATTGAAGATTGTTTTGGTAGTTCAGGGCAAGTATGTATTGTTGAAATAAAGTTTAATTTGCTTTGATAGAGTTGAAAACAATTTTGATTTTAATTGAATGAGGTAATGAGTTAGTATAGTGTGAAAAATACTTGTGTGTAATTGCAGTAATTGTGTGTAATTGCAGTAATTGTGTGTATTTGCAGTAATTGTGTGTAATTGTACTAATTGTGTAAAAAGTATGGAAGAGTAATTGTAAAAGATTTTTTTTAGGAGCTAATATATTTTAAAACTATCAAGATATATAAGATATGACAATAACATAAAATTGCCTGAGGTTGGTTCCTTAAGCTTTAAACATTCATATCTCAGCCATAAATATACATTTTGAATAGATTTTTTTAAGGAGCTTAATGATCTAGTATTGTATTAGTTTGTAGTATTAGTTTATAGATTCTAGAATCTGAATGTTAAAAAAACTCAATCTTTGGATCATATGGAATTAACTGTTCCACTCTAATAATTTTTAGTTTTTTTAATTCACAGCAAAATGAATAAAAGCTTAAAGAGCTGCTCAAGTGCTAAGACAAGGTGTGTCATTGTTAAAGATAATGTTTAAAAAAGTAAAGATAACATTGAAGAACTAATATTAAATATAAAAACAAATATACTTTGTTAAAGTGTAGTAGAACCATAAATAGTAATATCTATTCAAATTAATAATTGTATTGGGCTAGGCAAAAAAAATTTTTTGCCTAGACTAATACTACTTCAAGGAGCTACTACTACTTCAAGGAATACTACTTCAAAAAGATATATTCTCCATACAATTTTTCCACACAATAGCTGGGGAATTTATGTTAACTTTAACGCAGTAGCTGTATCACTATTCCAAAACACTAGCCAAAACAACTTATTTTAAAAATAATGCAAAAAAAAAAAAAAAAAATTAAACTTTTTTAATAAAAGGGATACTATAATAGTTTTGAAAAAAATTTAATAAAAATGTATAAACAAAGAAAAAAGTTAAATTATTTTATACTCTATAAATATCTTATTTTTTATCATACTCTATAAATATCTCATTTTAGAACTGCTAAACTAAATAAAACTTGCAAAAACTATGCACTAATGTGTCTGCATTTAAGATCATAGAAAGGCCACAGCATAGTAATTATTTTAGTAAATAAAAAAATACATGAGAGAAAAAACCAAAGATTTTCACACTTTTAACACATTTCTGAAATAAGCCACACAAAAATTGTCTACTCTTAGTACAACAATAAGAAAATAATTATGTATTTATTATATAATTTCACTATTAACACAATTATTGCACATTTATTATATAGTATCACTATTAACATGCATCCGTCACATACAATGTGAGAAATCTTTTTACCTCAATTGTGTTCTGTTAAATTTTCTTGATATAAAAATTGCTCCTAATGTTATCATATCCAAGTCGAATACATTTAGGAAACAAACAACATCATGCTAAATTATTGTTGTTTTTTTCTCCCAGGAAGAATGTTTTTCATACATATGAACAGCCCTTTAGAATAATGTCATATATTTGTTTTGCAATTTTTAATTTGCAAAAGAAATATATGATGGCATTTCTATAATTGTCTCAACAATTTTTTTTTTTGTTTTTACATAATTCCAAAAACTGTGAAGAAATTTTAAAAATTCAAAATTTGGACATAGCCCGTAATGGTTCATAAAGTGTTTCTGGTAATAAATATTTATAATTAATACAATTGCAGGTTTACACCAGCAGTAACAAAATCATAAAAAAAAGTAATGACAATAAGATGTATTAAAGTTAAAAAAAATTAAAACTTATTTAAGTATTATCTAAAAAACTTTTTTTTACTTTGTATTTATAAGTAACTTTTGTATTAAAAGTACTTTGTATTTATAAGTAACTTTTTTATGTTAATTATTTATGCTAATTTTATTTGTTTTATTACTTTTACTACAAATTTTTAAAATTAATTTTTTATAATTAAATTTTAGATGCGATGTAATTATTATTAATATTATTTTTTAATAGTTAAACTTTAATTATTTTTAATAGTTAAATTTTATATATATTTAATATTTTACATTTAAAAATAACTTAAAGTAAATTAAAGTCCTAGTTTGAGCCCATAATTTTCTTAAACCAAGTGTATTAGCTGATGTAGGCTTAAAACCATTTTTAGGATTAAAATAAATTTAAGGGTAAATAAAAAGGCAGAACCCTAAAAGTTAGTTGGATTTAGACAATTCCCTGTATGTACTCTCAAACACTTAAACGTTGCGTATACTTTTCACTTTTTGATTAATCAAAAAAAAAAAATAGGTTTTTAATCAAAAACCTTTTTTTTTTTATTTGAAGCTAATTTAGCTTTGTAAAACTTTTTTTTTTTTTTTTTTTAAATTTAGATAATCTAAATGATTTTTTTTTTTCAAAACTAGTTTAACTTTTCGAAAATCATTTTTTTTTCGAAATTGATTTTGGAATTTCGACTTAAATTTCAAAATTAATTTAGTATATCGAAATTACTATTTTTCTTTGAAATTAATTACTTTTCAAAATCAAATTTAAGTTTTCAAAATTATTTTAGCCCTAATGTTTTATTTGAAAATGAACCCTAAAAATAATATCAAAAAATATCGAAAAAATATAATAAAATGAAAGAAAAATTAATCTTTCAAAATTTTACTGTGTTATCAAAACAATCTCAAATGTGTGCAATTCGATTTTAGCAGCATTAGTTCATATAAAATATCTGCTGCTAACTCTATGTGTTTCTTATATTATACATACATATGCATACATATCTACATATTTGTAGACTTTTTTTTAACACTCATCTTTTAAAAATGCTATTGTACAACAACTGCTATTTTCTTACATTGACAAATTATAAACAATGCATATTGCATTGTTTATATATTCAATATATTCAATATAATATAAGAACATTAAATATATGCAATATATTCACTGTTCTTTACATTTGAAATTTCTTCATGAGAAATAATTCTTGTTACTTTTTACATAATAGTAAGCTCTTTGCAGATGTCATTTCAAACCTGCATTAGGGGTTTTATATAAACAGGAGGGTGTGTAGAAGCAATTTGTTTCAAAAACTGTCAATAGATAAATCTTTCTTCTTTATTTTTCAAATTTAAAAATGTTGTAGTCAAATGAAATTGATAAACTAGATTTTTTTAATCTTTAAGTTGACACAACAACTATTGACAATGGTTCAGACTATGTTTGTAGTGCCTATGTAGTGCCTTCAATTAGTTTGGTTAAGTCGAGTAGGAAAAATAGAAAAAGAAAGTGGATTCTAAACTGGTTAACTTGATGTCTTTTTTTTTTATGGAAATTTCTAGAAAGTTGCAATGATGATATTATTTTATCAAAACACTGTCGTTGTGCAGCTCAGACAATAAAATTGCTGGCTTGTAAGAATACCCAGATGTTGCCAAGTTTGAATTTGAATCCCAGTTTGTTGTTTTTAAAGCTAGCTTCAAAGAATTGTGGGAGATGGATTGCCTAAAATAGGAATAATAAAATTGTGGCGGCAAATGACATCAAGGCATCCCTGAGGTTGGCGGCACCAGTGACCACAAGTTTGAACTCTGTCTATAATACATTAAAATACCTATTAGTCAAAGAGCATAATATTCTCTATGTTTTATTGTATATATATTAATATAACAATCTAAATTTTCTGCAAGGTTTACATTTGAAAGGTATTTCCATTTTTTTTTGCGCATCCCTATTACAAGCTGCCAGAAAGCTACACCTGACATAAATATGCATGATTAGGGATTTTTTGTGCATAATCAACACCAAGAAATTAAATTTTGTGCAAGAATTTGTATTGCCATAAGCAATATCCATGTAAGTTACATTTTACTCATAAAAAATTAGCAACACTAAGTAAATTTAAACTTGGTGTAAAACACTAAAAAATGTGTTGCTTTATTTATATCATCCCATATGGATATCAAAAATCAATGTGAGAAAAGAGTATTTTTTTTTTTGTTTTTTATTTTGCAACTAGTCCGCTACCAAATTTTTGGTAGCAGACTAGTTGCGAGCTAGTGGTACTAATTACAAAATTTGATAAAGTAGCGGAAGAAAGGCATAGGTTTCTGGTTCCCAGATGAAGAAGATGCAGAACGTTGTGGTAGCATTTTCAAATATTTAGTAGCAATGCCCAGCTCTGTTATTTGGTATGTATTATTATTAAAAAAGTTGTTGTATGCAAATATCAGTCATTTATTTATTATGAAGGTCTTATTTAACAAAAATCGAGTTAAAAAATAATACATTAAAACATCTTTAAAATATATTTTTTTCTCTTGATCTGACAAAAATGATTCGATATGAAATATTTTTACTTGTTTACCAATGATTTTGCTGCTAATTGATAAAAAAATTAATTAGTTGCGTAATATTTTTTGACTTTTTTGGTGTTTGGTTTAATTTCTGAAAAAAAGGTTTTTTACATCTGCAGATTCTGATGTTTTATTCTTACCAGTATTATGCAACATTAAATGTAGATTATTTATTTTTTCTGCAAGAGTTGGTTTTCATATCTGTTGGCATTACAAATTAGTCTTTTTTTTTTTTTGGGGGGGGGGGCAACTTACTAAAAGTATCGTTTTTAAAACGCATGTTTTAGTTTATCTCAAAACTAAAACATGCATTTAAAAAAAATGATGCGAAAAAAACATAAAAACTTAGTATTTAGAAACAGGTTTTTCAGCACAAAAGAGTTTAATTTATGTCTGCTGTATTATGTTGTTATTTATACTTACAATTTTGGGAAAAAATAGTTATATTTGTTCATTCAACATCTGGCTACAACATCTGGTAAAATTATTTAAACAATAGTCAAGAGGTGATGAGTACATTTAACAAGCATACTATAACAAACAACATAAGCATGTCAACATTTAATCTGACACGTGTTAATGTTATCCACATGACTTAGTAACCCATTGTTACAATTTAAATAATATTTTCGGGATAACTCAGTAAACAGCTCAATCATAACTTCCACTTAAAACCTTTAACAAAAAAAATGCAAGTAGGCTAGGGTGTCCCAAAAGACAACATTTTTGAAAATAATCTGCTCTCACCCCCTAAATATGTTCTATCTAATACAAAAACACTAGGTTTAAATTTTTTTTGAATAAAAAATATTTTAAGGGGTCCCTCAAGACCCTCGAATATTTAATGGGTTCCTAATATTTTCGAAAAAAAAGTTTTTCAAAAATATGTCAACCTGGTATGAATGAAGCGAAATTATATATTTCAAAAATATTATTCATTTCAAAATATTTTTAACTTATTTATCAAAATTATCATAAAAAAACATAAGAAATGCATTTTTTTCATTTTTTCCTAAAAATGCAATTTTTTATGTAATAAAACCAAAAATAACAATTTTGTTTCGAAATAAATATTATTTTTAAAATTTTTATATAATTTCGCTTCATTTGAGTACCAGGTTGACATATTTTTGAAAAACTTTTTTTTCGAAAATATTAGGGACCCATTAAATATTCGAGGGTCTTGAGGGACCCCTTAAAATATTTTTTATTCAAAAAAAATTTAAACCTAGTATTTTTGCATTAGATAGAACACATTTAGGGGGTTAGAGCAGATTATTTTCAAAAATGTTGTTTTTTGGGACACCCTAAAGTAGGCAGATTTTTCAACTTTTTTAAATATAAAGTTGTTTTTGTTTTTTTTTATATAAAAATGTATACTGTTTCACATATTGTTTTGTAACTGGTTGATACAAAGTTTCATTGGTTAACTAATTGATATACACAAAGTTTCATTGGTTAACTGGTTGATATACACAAAGTTTCATTGTACATTTTTCAACTTATTCTTATATAACTAAAGTTACATGGTGACCATGGTTTACATGGTGACCAAGCTTGTGCATTATGTTATCAGTCAACAAAAAATGTGTGCAAAACAATGAAATAAATCTAAATGAAAAAATCTTGTGAATTCCATAAAATTGTTTGTATTATTTGTTGTGGAACTGGTCAATTGTTTGAAATTCATGTATTAAGCACCAAGTTGAATAAAGTTAAAAATAGGTAATAAAAATTATGGTAGTAAAAAAATACAAGCAGTAAAAAGCTTTTTGTAAAGATGGTTTTTAAATTCATTTATTGCCTTAAAAATATTTTTAAACATTTCATAAATTTTATATTAGAATTTATTGTATAAAAAATATAATTATAGAAATTATACAAAAGTGGTCGTGCACTGGTTGGTGAAGGTGTATTAACAAAGATATGTAGAAAAAAACCAAAGCCAAGACAGGTATTCATAAATTCAAATTTTAAAATAAAAAAAAGAATAAAAGCAAAAAATTTTTTAGTAAAGACAATGAAAATGAGCATTATTACTTCTTGTTGTTTTATATATTTTTATTTCTTGTGTTTGTATATAGTTCTTAAACCTTATATTTTTTTAAATATAGTTTTTTCTCTTTGATGATATTCTTGTTTATGGCAACATCCTTCTCAGCAAAAAAAAGGTAAGATGCAAGTGCATGAAAAGAGGTGTCAAATTAATTTTAAATTGTTAAGAATAAGAAAACAAAAAAAAATTATTAATCAAAAGAAATTTAACAAACAGCATTTTTAAATTTAGCAGTATAAACTATATCCTTTTAATTTAATACAATTAACCACATTTATTTTTATTAATATAATTAAGGACACTTTTAATTTAGTACAATTAACCACATCTTTTAAACAATTCAATAAAGAAAGTTTTAATTTAAATAAACTTTATCTTTTGGTTTAGTACAACAAGCAACATCTTCTGCCTCTTGAAGAAGTAAAGATCGTTAGTCTTGATGATGACTCAAGTAAGTTTATTTTGATGTTTAAACAATGTTTTATGTTTTTTTTTTTTTTTATTATTGCTTTCTTATTATTATGATTATTGTTACTATTATTATTATTATTGTTATATAATTATTGATATTATTATTATTTTTATATGTTAATCATTAAGCAAAACCTAACAATACATTAGTTATATGTGGAAGATGCACATCTTAATTATGTCAAGACATAATTAAGTTGTCATAGTTGACAACATACTGAAATAGTTATTTGCAAGGCTTCAGTACATTCATCAATTGTGGGCTTAGACAGTTACAATCTAGATAAGACATTTAAAACTATGTAAGATTTTTGGAATCATTTTTTACAGGAAAAAAAATTTAAAAAATTTTCATTCTTTTTTTTTCTCCTGCTTTTCTGGATTAAAGTATATATTTATTTTTTGTATTTTAAATATTAAAATGTGAAAATAAATATAGACAATACACACTTAAATGTACCTATATATATATATTTATATATATATATATATATATATATATATATATATATATATATATATATATATTGCTGTCAATGATTTTTTTCAGAAAAATAGCTTGTTTTTTTAATGAAAGTTGGATTATTTTACTTATTTTCAACACCTTTCTTATAGTTTCATTCCATGAAGCAGTTATATCATTCATCACGGCAGCACTTTCACCTTCCACTAATTTGGCCTTTCCCACCCCCACCCCCCATTTCCTAAGCAGTTTTAAAAAAACTTTTTTGATAGCAGCAGCGAAATTATCATTTTTCAGTCTGCAATGATTCAATCACATTTAAACATCACTATGGAAAACTATATCCATAAAATTGTTTAAGATACTATTGCATACTTATTTTAAATGAATGTTTGTTGGCAAAAGATGACTAATCACGTTAAAAAGATGATTAATCATGTTGCGTGTGATGAATAATTAAACAAATATATTATTTTTATCTATTTTGCTGTATCATGAAATTGAGGAACTTTTTCTTTTTTAACATGTTTTCAGCCCCCCGCCCCCACTTTTTGCAACCTTCCTACGCCACTAGAGACTACTTTAAAAAAAAAAAATAGTGATGCTAACCTTTTCTCAACTTTTTAACTTTAAAACACTAACCTTCAAGATACCTGTGCGGAGAAACTAGTTGAATGCAGTACAACCAGGGATTATTTAGTAGGTTGGAACTCAGAACTTCTTGCTTACAAGGCGAGACCTCTCGCATACAATAAAATACAATAGGTGTATATAGTCATAAGCATTAGTCTTATGACTAATATACACCTATTATATAAATACAAACTATTTTAACAATGACATTTCTTATACAGCATTGAAAATATGAATAAATAAATAAAAAATTTACTTGTTTAAGTTTGTGGCTCAGTTGGTTAGAGCAACAAATGAATTGTTAAAACTCGGACTGTTGTGCCGCCATACTGCCAATCTCAGACGTGAGTAGTACTTTAGTACAAAAAAAATGTCAATGACAAAGGCTACTTTGAATTAGTCTTTAAGACTATTTGTGGCTATTCCTATGCTAAGCCAATAATATCTTCAGATATAAGAGAATTGTATAGTAAAATATATAAAATTCAAATAAATAAAAAATAAAATAGTAAAAACAATGGATAATATTTTTCATATTAATTCTCTAAATTAGAAGCATTATGTTAAAACCAGACTGTTGCAGGATAATTTATTATCTAATTTGCAGCTCTCAAAAGTGGAGTTGAAACTTTTTGAATAGGCAGGATGGATGACTTTATTAAAATTCTGTTTAAATTGGAAATCTTTGAAAATGTTTTCATAGATTTAAAATCTACGAAAACATTTTCAATGCAAATTTATAAATACTCTTTTCTGACTCACATGCCGCCATCGTTTTTTAGAATTATTATTTAGGTCATTTCGGAAAAAATTTATTTCAAAAACAAACAACAACTGATGTTATTATGCAATTATTAAAATCAAGTCATAATTTTGTAATTTAATTTTTCGATATAAAAAAGCCTAACCTTTATAAACATTTAAATTGGTCAAAAATAATAAGTTATTTTTTTGACATATTTTTTTTAAAACGATTATTTTTGAAATTCTTATAATTTTATTTTGAAACATGTGTTAAAATATTTTTGAAAAACCATTTTTTTTTTTGATAACATTAGGAACTTGCCCAACATTCAAGGGTCTTGATCAAATTCTAAATTTGATTTTTATAACCTAATTTTTGAAATGTCATTTTATTCTTAAGAAATACAACTAGAGAGTAAAAAAAAAAAATTTAGAAAAAAAATATATATATATTTTAGTTGGCACACTAATATAGATATATTAATAAACATACACACTTTTACTGGTTTAGGCCACTTTATTTTTGCTGTAGTAAAAATCCTTCATATATTGATAATACCTGCTCAAACCCAAACCCTTAGTTGATGTATGTGCTGAAATCCCCTTAGCTTTTTCAGTACGATCTCATCAATCATGCTAAATGCAATTTTTAAGCATACAAAAATGTTTGTGTGTGTATATTTATATTGTATTGATACCATAATGACACTCCATTTAATTTATAATCTTATATAATTATTAAGTTTTATGGTTTATTTTATTTAGGAATTATCTTTATTTTATTTAGTATTTATTGGTAGTGAGCTTGTTTTTTTCATATAGATTTTCGAAATGGTTGGCAAATTGTTAGTCCTTCAAAATCATTTGCTGTTTATGCTGCTACACCAACAGAAAAAGCAGAGTGGATGGCACATATAAAAAAGTGCATAGAACAGTTACTTGAAAAAAGTAAGAAATAAGATTTATACTTTTTTTTTAATTAAAATTTTAATTATTTGAAAAAATATTTATTTTAATCTTTTTTTTTTTAAAAAACATTTAAAATTTAACATCTAATAATAGTTGTATGTAAAAAGTAAGTCATTGATATTAAAAAAAAAAAAATTATTTTCATCAAAGAACTGGACCAAGACTCAATTAAATAAAAAAGTATAAGGAAGAGTAATAGGATAATAAAACAAAAATATGTTGAACATTTAAAATAAAGTGCTATAGTAAAATGTGTAAAAGTCATTATACTATATAAGCAACATACATGCAATAAAAAGGCAAAACCAACAAACCCTAATGAACATTAATGAAAGCCAAAACTCATGTGCTAAAAGCAAATAAGAAAAAAAAACCTAATCTCTAGGGATATTTCAACTACTGGTACATATATGATAAAATCTAGAAAATGCAAAGATACAAAAATATGTCAATTCAAAAAACATAATAATATATCATCTTTAATCTCAGGAAAACTCATAGAAAAAAAAGTTGCAAGAAATTAAAATGGGATTTGAATCTTGAGCTTGCTAACTACCAGCTAGTCACTTAATCTAATACTGCTGTGCATGCAGCGATGTTATGTAACAAAAATAGCATATATAATAAAAAAACTTAAATAAATTGATGATAACAATCAAGCCTTCCCAGAAGCATGTGCGGTCGCACGCCTTGTTCGTCCACATAATTTTTTTAGACTAACTGACCATGGCAGTTAGCATCTTACAAAGCGATTCAATAATTCGCAGATAAAAGCTTAACTTATCTTTAAAAAAAAACAATCCTTAAAAAAGGAAACAAAATTGTAACGAAATATCAAGTTTAATTAAATAAACTAAAAAATTTAATAGTTAAAAAAAGTAAATTATAAAAAAAAAATTTTTTTAGAAAATTTTTTATACAATTTTTGTATTCTTTTTTCTAGAGTCATTGTTGGAAAAAAACATTATCTTTTATAATGACTTAACAACAATTAAAAGTTTTGATATGCAATTAATTCATGATTTTTATCAGTCCATATAATTAAGAAACTAATTTGTTATGTACACTGGAACTATAAGAAATTTTGTTAATTTTTTTTTCTTATGTTTATTTGTTTTAATGTCTTTTCGCTTTTAAAAAAGTTTTTACTATATTTTTTACTATATTAAAAGTTTTTACTATATTTGACATTTTTTCTCAATACTTGTATAATAGGAAAATAAAAAAATAAATATTTGAATAAAATTTTTTGTTAATGACAGAATAAGTTAAATAAAAGAATAACATAGTTTTTTTAATAAATGCATTTACCGCATTTGATGCATGCCTGAAATTGTTTTTTTTTATATTGTCCGATTTCCTATGTTAATATGAGTTACTAGAGATAATGAACATAACAATTGCTCTGTTTACAAAAAATGTATTTAAAAACTTAAAAAAATGTTTTCAATAGGCTCTGAAAAATTTCGTTAAGAAAATTCAGTAAATTAACAATGCACTAGGCACACAAAATTTTGCAGCATTGTTTCATTTTTTTACATCAAAAACTTTTTTTTTTTTTTTTTTTTTTAAATTTTACAAATAAATAGCAATTAGTTTTCTTGTATTCTGTGCATTAATAAAAACAACAAAGTTAAGCAAAAATATTTGAAAAACAAATTTAAAAATTGTCCGTGTTTCTAGCACAATTTATAAAGTATTTCCTTTATATATTGCCTAAAAAAGTCGCTGAAAAAAATAAGTATCAAAAAATATTTTAATTTTCGTTATGTTGTCATGTACTTTTTTTCTCAACTTGTATCAATTTTAGTAGTGGAAAATAGCAAAGGCTCTAAAAATAAGAAAACAAAAACAGTAAATGTTTAGGTATATTATTTTTTGGACAACAATTTTCTTTTTTTATTAATAATTTTTTTTAGCTTATTTTATTTAGATTTTCTAATTTGAAGTATTCGGTTCTTTTTATCAGGTATTGCTGATTTATTCTCTAGTTTCTTATAGCTTTATTTTGCCGTGAATTCTTAAATTGCTTACTTATATAAAAATGTGGTCAAGTTGTCTAAAAAAATTACTTTAAATGTGAATGCGCAAGGCGTGCGATTACACATGCTTTCTGGGAAGGCTTAATGTATGTATATTTTATTTAGATTATACTTAATAATCAGGGCAAACCCAGATCTGTTTTAGTGCAGCTGAAGCAGTATGGTTGGCTAAAAAAAATTTATTGTTTGTTGCTTTTTTTATTAAAAATAGGGTAAAAAGTTTTGGTTTCAAATGCTTGTAAGCAACTAGTTTTCTGTTTACTTTAGTGAGTTCATTTTTTCTTCAGGACAATAAAATGGACTAAAAAGTTATTAGGTGCCGTAACTCGTTTTAAAACTGAAAAGCAACTTCTTTAATACTGCTATTTAATTACTAACCGAATTTTAAAAAAATTAATTAAAGCTTTTTATAAAACTCAATCTAAAGACAATGGAATATGAAATATAAAAAATTTGTTTTTTCAAAAAAAAAAAGGAGTGATTTAGTAAAGAGTGATAAGCAAAGTAACCTTTTTTAATATTAAATGAACTTAAGTAAAAATTTCAGCCTTAATAACAACGTTGTAATCACTCAAATTTAATTTTTAAATGAATGAACTTTTGATCTTTAGCTCACTATTAAATTTTACTTTGGGAAAACGTAAAAATGAAAGAAAGTTTTTTTTCTCATATTCTTTTCAACTTTTAATAATAACAAAAATAATGATTACAAGAACTTTAATAAAGTTTTATTAGGTTTTCATTATTTTTAAACTGTTAAAATGTCTTTGATTTTTTAAAAAATCATTAGTAAATATAAATTGATGTACGCAATTTTTTTAATTAAATATTTTTTTAATCATTAAGTTTACTGTAATTATCTCGTTTATTTAAATGGCACCTTAAAACACTGTGAAAAGTTAAATGAACAGAATAGCCAGGATTTAAATTGTAATGAAAATTCTAAAAGTAAATACACTTTGTAAATGCTCATGTTTTGTATTCAAATAGTTAATATATATATATATATATATATATATATATATATATATAATATATATATATATATATATATACATATATATATATATATATATATATATATATATATATATATATATATATATATATATATATATATATATATATATATATATATATATAATAACTATTCAACTAAAACACACAAGCATTTAATAAGTGTATTTACTATTATTTTAGTTTTGCAAATTTTGCACTATTTGTAAATATTTATAAAAAACTCTTCAAATTATTTTAAACATTAAATACTAAAACTACTAGAAAGTTACTAATGAATTTTTAATCAATATTTACAAATAGAGTAGTATTTGCAACTTAAAAGTTTATTAAATTATTAAATAAAATAGTTTTTCTTAGCATGACTAAAATATGTCCACCACTAATCTATTAAAAGAAATGTTTTTTACAATGAGACAGATAAAATAAGGTGAACACAAACAAAGTGATATTTAAAATCATAGTCGCGGTACCAGTTTTAACTAAGGGGAAGAAGAAAAAAAAAGGGGGGGGACGACAAGAACATAACCCCCTCCCCCACATTGTCGAAGTTAAATGATATCTCCAAATAAATTCTAGGTTTGTCACTATTAATGCAATAAAAGTTATATGTAAATAAAAAGGCCAAGAGTAGAAAAAAAGCTTTAAAAAATGTTGTAACATCCAATTAAAATTAGTGGACTAATATTAGAGATATGAAATTCGCTAAAGCTGTCTAAATGAAACGAACCGAACGAACTGAACTAGAACCTTACCTACAACTGAACTTAACCCAAACTTTACCTTTTACCAAATCCAAACTTTGAGATTGTTGGGAATGAACTAAATTGAACAAACTGTCCTTACCCTAACCAGATCAAAAAGAGATTTATAGTAGTAAAAATTTTGCAATTTGTACTTCAATAACATATCTTCGCATTTTTAAGTTTTGAGTTAAAACGATTTAAAAAAGATTTTTAAATTGTTTTAAAGTGATAATATAAATCAAAATTGTTAAAGAGATAACATAGAAATTTTTTTTTTTACTTAAGTTTTCTCAGCAATTTTTTTACTTATAACTTAGGTTTTAATACTGTAGATAAACATTTTGAAGTGCACAACACTATCAATAACTCAATGGAGATAGAACAAGATAATTCTAACATTGCGTTAAGTATACAATACATAACATAATACATCACATAATTATGTACATATGTGTAATTATGTAAAATTATGATTTATATATATATATATATATATATATATATATATATATATATATATATATATATATATACACACACATGTATATATATTAGGGGCTATTTTAGACCATTTTTGATAGCGTTAACCATATTTAGGCGCCAATTTGGGCACCGCCCAAATTAATATTTGAGGACCTTTTTTTTTTTTATGTTTTTTTACATTTTTACGGCAAGTATTGTTTTTTTTTTGAAAAAAATCACACATTTACCACTAAAGTTTGCCGGAACAAGGGGGTACTACTTTCCTAGAATAGTCCCTGTGTGTATATATATATATATATATATATATATATATATATATATATATATAATATATATATATATATATATATATATATATATATATATATATATATATATATATATATATATATATATATATATATATATATATATATATATATATATATATATATATATATATATATATATATATATATATATATATATATATATATATATATATTCGTAATTTGAAGGCAGCTTTTCTGTCCAGCCTGAATGCAAAGTATATTATTCATCCTTTGCACAAGCTATTAACACTTATTGCTCCCTCTAAAAAATACTTGTCTTTTATCAATGTAGAAGATTGCAGTTTTGTTTATTCAGACATGCGTAGTATGGTAGACAAAATTATTTCTTTTTCAACACCTTATGTGATACGCAAGGACTC